CTTGTTTGTGGAGAATTCGTGTTGAAAAGAAACAGGAAGATTTTTACAGATCATTATAAAACAATATATAACTCTTGCTATCCAAATGCTACGACTGATTTTGATAAGTTTTGGATACCAAATACTTTGTGCGCTTATTGTGCATTTCTTAGTACATAGCAAAAGGGATATAAAACAAAGAAACGCTTTAGTTTTCCTATGATCTGGCGAGAACCTGAGAATCATATAAATGACTGTTATTTCTGTTTAGTTTCTACAATTGGATTTAATGCAAAAAGCAGATCGATATTTCATATCCCTCGGTCACTTCTGTTACAATGCCAATTCGAGGAAACATTCTTGAAGCCTCAGTTGGCAGAGGAATAGAGGAAAACGAATCCATGGAAGTGAATAAAGAAATTCCAGAACCTCATGCATCTACAAATAGTGCAGATGGTGAATCTAATCTTGAAGAAGCCGATGACAAAAATAGAAAAGCTTCTAAAATGTTCAACCAACAAGAACTTAATGATTTCGTAAGAGATTTAGGACTTTCAAAAGAAAACGCTGAGTTACTCGCATTTAGGCTAAAAGAAACAGGATTTCTTACAAAAACTACTAAGGTATCTTTTTATAGAAAAAGAGACGAACCTTTTAGGCCTTATTTTTCCCACGAAGGCTCATTAGTTTTTTGTAATGATATTAAAGGTTTGATTTCTGAGTTTAATTGCATCAATTACAATCCTGATGATTGGCGGTTGTTTCTTGATTCATCCACACAAAGTTTTAAAGCAGTATTATTGCACAATGGAAATGTGTATGCATCTCTTCCTGTAGCATATTTTAGATGTTTAAAAGAGAGCTACAATGATCTTCAACTGTTGCTTACTAAACTAAATTATGACGAACATAACTGACAAATATGCGGTGACTTGAAGATCATAACAATTCTACTTGGTCAACAAAATGGATTTGTTAAATTTCCTTGCTTTTTGTGTGAATGGGATAGTCATGATCGTGCTAACCATTACGTAAAAAAAGTTTGGACAGCTCGTCAAACTAACACCAGGTTCAAAGAATGAATTACATGATCCATTAGTAAACACTACAAAGATACTTCTACCATCTTTGCACATTAAACTTGGGCTTATCAAGCAATTTATTAAAGCTATGAAATTAAATGACAGTGATGCTTTCAATCATATCTCCATCAAGTTCCCAAATCTATCTCATGCAAAAATTAATGAGGGAGTTTTGGATGGACCTCAAATAAGGGCTCTTATAAATGACGAAGAGTTTCAAAATAAAATGACAACACTTGAACTCGCTGCTTGGACAGATTTTAAAAATGTTGTATCAAAATTTTTGGGTAACAATAAGGATTCAGATTATAAAAAATATGTTGAGGACATACTGATTACATACAAAAATGTGGGATGTTTAATGAACTCAAAAATTCATTACCTTCATTCACATCTTGATTTTTTTCCGGACAATCATGGGGCTTTCAGTGAGGAGCAGGGTGAAAGGTTTCATCAGGACATTAAAACAATGGAACGAAGATACCAGGGTGTTTGGAATGAACATATGATGGCTGATTACTGCTGGAGCCTACAACGTGATACTAAAATACCACATAAACGAAGACCTATTCGCAGATCTTTTGAAACAAAAAAGACACGTTATTCCGAAAAGAAAGGATGAGAGTTGATCGAGTTTTAAAGAACAAATGTCGTGAGGGGCAAGAGGACTCACGCTAAACAAGCACCCCATCGTGAGAGGCAAGGGGACTCACGCTAAAAAAGCACCCCAAAGGAAACAGAACTTACTACGTTCACGTCGTTGTTTCTGGGTTACGCTAAAAGTAAGGTCACGATGATTCTATTTTTTGAATCTTCTTTATTTAAAAAAACGACGTACTTTTTTGTTAACCATGAAAATTGAATAGAAGGTCAATTTAGTTAAGGTTAAGGTTGTCGAAACTTGTGCAACTTTGTACTCGTTAAAAGCATCTTCAACTTTGGTATTGTTCAGAAAATCAAGAAATAAAAAAAAGGTTCTAAGCGCCCTTCAAGTAATTGACCTTAACCTAACTTTTTAAATTTCGGAATACAGAATTTTTAAATTATAGTGGCTTACGTTACTGGATCTTTGGGGGTTTAAGGTTAGGTTACGGGAGCTTTGGGGTTTAGGGGACGGGCTCTGGGTTTAAAGGCTTATGTTTTAGGGCCGCTGTATTAGAAATCTTTGGACGGAGGGGCCATGGGTTGCGTTAGTTTACACACCTCGAATGAGAAGCTTCCGATATTGGGTTTTGAGGCTTTTCACCTTAAAATGACCTTTGTATGGTCATGAANATCTTTGGATGGAGGGGCCATGGGTTGCGTTAGTTTACACACCTCGAATGAGAAGCTTCCGATATTGGGTTTTGAGGCTTTTCACCTTAAAATGACCTTTGTATGGTCATGAAAAAAAAGTTTAAAAATATTACTTTTGACGTAAAATTTCCCTCTTTTTTTGAATCCGGGGTCAAAAATGGGGCTTTCCATTCAAAAAAATTATTCTGACCTTGAAATAACCTTGACATTATATCTCAAGGTCAAAACAAATAGTACGGATGGATGTCTCCCTTTGTCCTGAACAACTTTTATCTGAACCATTTTTCCGTACCACGCATAGAATCGGAGGAATTAGGGTCCATCGATTAAAATGGGTTACCCTGTATATACCTAAACCACATAATATTCGAGTAAAATATGCTTGTGGGTTTGTGGCTTGTTGGTTTGGGGTTTTTGGGTTTGGGGTTTGGGGCTTGTTAATTTGGGGTTTGTATATTTAGGGACGAAATTTATACAGAAATTCCAGATTTTTAACCATTTTTTAATTTTACTGCAAATCCTGACGTGCTGGCTCAATTTTGCGAATGGATTCGTGTTCAGCGACCCCAAAAACATAAATTATACCTATTAGAATCCCAGTAGACTCCCAAAACCATTTTGTGGTCCTGTGTAATTATCACGTTATTTTTATTTGAAAATTTGGTTATGGAACCAATTTCTAATTTATAGAATGGGAGGGCGGCTTAAATATTTGGGTTTCATCTTAATCTCTGATATTGTTCTTCTAGAAGGTAGACGTTTATTTTTCATTTCAAGTGTAAATGTTTTAGTTATTGTATCAGATTCTTCTTGTATCGGCCTAATCTATTTTGTTTGAACAAATGATGATACTGCATAAAATAAAGCGTACAAAATAAAGTGTATATTACGAGAAATCAAACATATATTAAGGATATAACAATTCAAAATATTATTATCATATATGTGCAAATTGTCTCTGACATGTTGCATCACAGATTGTATGTGCGCCAGAATTATTGCCACTATCCACGTAATGTTCTGTTTCCCATGTAATTTATTTAAAATTAGTCACATCTGTGTTGATTTTCAAATTATTTTATTCACCGTGTTCAATATCGCCAACTTCTTCATACATTATTTTAAACAATCACGACATGTTTAAAAAGTCTATTTGTGGAATAGACTAACAATAATATTGAATACGTGTACTTTTACAATGACATCTATAATTATTTAGTTGTTTTATATCAGGTTCTGATAAATTCAATGTAATGCTTTCGGTTATATTATATATTGTCGTCGCGCAAGCAACGAATAATCGGAATGCCGCGACGTACACGCAATTCAGCACCATAATTAGCAAAGATACATTTATCATATTGTTATATTGGAAGAATTGAAAGAAGACAATGCACACCGTGAATTCGTGTCATTTGGCGGCAATAATGCGTGAGATCGTAATACGTGATAAGAAAGGCTGCGAAGTTCAAGTTTGGAGTCCGAATTTCCATCAAGTAATACACTGCGACAAATCGTCGAAATTTAAAGAATGACTACAGACAATTATATTTATTCATAAACTTTATTCATAATACATTAACTTGTCCGCACACGTTTCTATTGGAAATAATAATTAATAACGATAGAATTAATAAATTTTTGCAAATGATAGTGCGGAAGTGCGAGTACTAGCGACAGATTTACGAGTTTTTCTTTGCACAAGATATTGTTGTTATTCAAGAAGCATTAATAATTTCGCACTCTTTCTACTGGAAATAATCGTTTGTAATGATACGAATATATTTTAGTTTAGTAACGCATTGAAACGCGTGTACATTGCGGTTTTCGCATTATTCGTGTAAGGGGCAATAGAAATTATTCCTTTCTTCTCTGCAACCGCTAAAAATCAACGTCGTGCATATACAATAGCATTACAATCATTAGTGTCCCCTGTGTTGAGAATAAATTTTTTTGATGATTCGGTTAAATCACCTTCGCATATTAAAGCGTCGAATCGCATGAATGTTGTGACATGTCGATTATTTTCATTGACCCTGATAATACTTATGGCTTATTTCTCTGAAACAAATAAAGATATCGACCAACAACAAACATTATATTGTGTGTACTCTATTCTATCAAAATTAGAGATAGTTAATGATACGATTAATGCACCTTCATTAATTAATACGTATAAGCGCGTGAACTTTGCGTAACGTTGATTATACGTTTTCGCACCACATTTAAGGCTTATTTGCCTATATCTCTGCAACGCCTTGATAGATGAATGTGTATCAACCGTATTTTAGTAAATCTTTAATTTCAACTCCAGGCATTTTGCAGATCGCAATACTTCTCAAATGACGTTGATATACGAGGTGTTCAGAAAGTAACGGGAATTTTCGTTTTCTGAAAAAAATATTTATTCGTCTACATTAATGTTGTCGCCTTCAAAATAGTCCCCATTAGATATTATGCACTTATGCCAGCGCTTCTTCCAATCCTCGAAATACTTGTCAAACACGATCTTTGGGATAGCCTTTAGCTCTTTCAGCGATGCGCCTTTAATGTCATTTATGCTTGTAAAACTACGGCCCTTTAAGGTTCTCTTTATTTTTGGAAATAGAAAAAAGTCACACGGAGCCATGTCTAACGAATATGGAGGCTGGGGCATTATTACAGTATTGTTTTTGGCCAAAAATTCACGAACAAGCAATGAAATGTGAGCAGGTGCATTATCGTGGTGCAAAAGCCATGAATTGTTTTTCCACAAATCCGGGCGTTTTTCGGATTGCTTCACGCAAACGGCGTTGAATTTGTAGGTAGCACTCCTTATTGACCGTTTGACCTCGTGGCAAGAATTCATAATGCACTATGCCATTAAAATCGAAGAACAAATTGAGCATAACCTTCACATTCGACCGTACTTGTCGAGCCTTTTTCGGTCTTGGCAAGCCAGAATGCCTCCACTTGATGATTGAGCCTTAGTTTTGACGTCATATCCGTAAACCCATGTTTCGTCACCTGTTATAACACGTTTCAGTAATTCTGCATCGTCATTGACTTCATTTAGTAACTCCTAAGCAACTTCCATTCGCCGCTGTTTTTGTTCAAAATTCAACAATTTTGGAACAAATTTTGCTGCCACGCGTTTCATACCCAAAACATTCGAAAAAATTTCATGGCATGAGCCAATCGATATGCCAGCATCATCAGCGACTTCTCTGATTGTGATTCGGCGATCGTTCATAACCATTTCTTTC